AAGAGTTAGTGATCGAAGGAATGACCCTTCCAAACTAATATAATAAACCCACCAATTTTAGCACTATACTATAGTTCTGTGTTACTTGGTTGCTCTTCAGAGGCTCCCCAGGATGTTTATCAGTAAAGATAAAGGTAAAGGTTCCCCTTGACAATTTTTGTCCAGTCGTGTTCGACTCTATGGGGCGGTGCTCATCCCTGTTTCCAAGCCATAGAGCCAGCGTTTGTCCGAAGACAATCTTCCATGGTCACATGGCCAGTGCGACTTAGACACAGAATGCTGTTACCTTCCCACCGAGGTGGTCCCTATTGATCTACTTGCATTTGCATGCTTTCGAACCGCTAGGTTGGTGGGAGCTGGGACAAGCGACGGGAGCTCACTCCATCGCGTGGATTCAATCTTACGACTGCTGGTCTTCTGACCCTGCAGCACAGGCTTCTGCGGTTTAGCCCGCAGCACCACCACGTCCCCATGTTTAGCAGTATGTAGGGTCAAATCGTCCTGAAAAGACAATACCCTAACCCATCTACTATCTCCTACAACATGCAGCTATAATGAATAACATCTACAAACAAGTCAAGGGTATCCATTCCCAGCCCTTTTTTTCTTTTCTTTTCTTCCTTTTTTTGCCACAGTCAAAAACACAGTATGAAAGAAATGCCATTTTTCTCAAAAATAAGGCAGGGTCATATATCAATTTGTGCTCCAAAAACACATTAAGGCTTATTTCCAGGGGATGTTGTTTTTTTTTTTAAAAAAAAAATGTACAACAATCTACATTTATTCAAATACAGTCATGTTTCATCTTCTTCTGGTCGCTTTACAATGGTGGAGGGCGGAGTTTCACTTAACTGGGGCTTATTTTGGGGGCAGGGCTTATATTACAAGCATCCTGAAAAATCATACGAGGGCTTATTTTCAGGATAGGTCTTATTTTTGGGGAAACAGGGTATAGATCAAATCAGGAGTGTTTAAGTCACATAACAAATCTCATAAGGTGGTATGTGAAGAACTGTATCCAGTTTGTGCCCCCCTTCAAATCTGCCAGCCCCAGCCCCAACGTGCACATATGACCCCCATTGAGAATGGCTGGTCTAAGGCAAGGATGGGGGGAAAATTAAATATAAGTCTATTAGTAGATCTCTGAGTAAAATACAAGCATTCTGATTCCAAACTGTTTAACAGCAGCAACAAAATAGGAACCTCATCTCCAAATTATACCGCTGAAGAAAATTTAGAGTAAGCTAAACAAATATAAGGAACAAGTGATACCTTTTATCACGTTAACTTTTATTAAGAATTTAAAACAAAAACAAAAACCAGAAAACAAAAAAGAAACAGTGAACTTTTGTGATAAGTCATCTTCTTCAATGCTGTGTATCAAGTTGTGAGTAGTTCCAAATTCTATGCTTCTATAATGTCCCAGATTCACATGGCTGGTGATTTTGAAGCCAGGTTTGCTTCTTAGATGGACTCTTCTAGCTTTGAGAGTTTCAGAAAGGCAGAGAAGGTGAAATGAGGGGCAGATTGTCTGACTGTCCTCTGTTTTGGGAGATGGGCCATAAATTCCAAACCACTAGCTGAGGAGGAGCTTGAAAACAACTTGCATACTGCATTATCTCCATCTAAGAAGCAAACCTGACTTCAACATCATCAGTCATGTGAATTTGGGACATTAATAGCAGCATATAAGTTGGAACTGCTCACAAGAACTTGATGCACAGCCTTGAAGAAGATTTATCATCCAAAGCTCACTATTCCTTTTTTGTTTTCTGTTTTTTTTTGTTTATATTATTAACAGTCAATTAAGGTATTGTATTGTTATTGTTTCCATGACCATGTGCCCCTTTCCTGATTTTTCCTTTAGAGTAAGCTGGAATTGATTTATGTGCAGCAGGATTCTCTATTCAACTCTCAAAACAAATTCCTGGGGCTGGAATTTTTTAATTCCAAATAGGAGCTAGTTGGTGAGCCTCATGGCGCAGTGGTTAAACCGCTGTACTGCAGCCAAAACTGTGCTCACGACCTGGGGTTCAAATCCCAGGTAGACGACTCAAGGTTGACTCAGCCCTCTATCCTTCCGAGGTCGGTAAAATGAGTACCCAGCTCGTTGGGGGGGGGCAATGTGTAGCCTCAATAATTAACTTGTAAACCGTCCAGAGAGTGCTTGAAGCACTATGGGGCAGTATATAAGCAGCACGCTTTGCTTTTTGCTTTTTGATGGATCTCATGGGACTTGTGAAAAACAAACTAGATCTATAAGCCCTGTTTGCCCGTGCCTTGTATAGAAACACTTTTGGTTCATTCAGGGTGACAGAATTCCTGAATAGTGCCCACAGGGAAAATTCCCAGAATGGAATGCTCTGTAGAAACAGATTTTGTATGGCCCCTTTCTAAAGCCGCTGGGTGAGACCAAGAGCAGGTTTCAGCTAATGTCATATTTGGAAGATTTCCCAGACACCACAGAATCTCATCCTGAGTGGAACTGCAGTGGCCAATTCTAAATAAGACCATACTTTAAATTATCCACGGTGGAATAAGGTACTGTTATTCATAGTCAGCCTGCAACCCTATGCCTGCTAATCTAATCCCACTTAATTTGATGTAACCTCTAAATAGACATGCACAGCACTGCATTACTGGGCTACATCCTAAACACACTTTTAAAACTAAGTTAAATCCTGTGGGAATTACTTCCAACAAATCTGTTTTCAAGTGAAATTTAAATTACTAAACTTTCTGCGAAGAACACATGCAAGCAATCATTGCTTTAAGGCATCCATCTGAAAGTTAAATTAAAGTCAGAATAGTAGGAGAAAATCTTATTAGTATACTAAAGAAGAAAATCTCATGCATGAATTAGTAATGTTGGCTCTCCACAAAATATATGTATCTGTCATTAAAGCAGATTCCTCCAGGCTGGTGCCCTCCAGATGTTCTGGACTTCCAATTCCTCTTATTCTCAGCCCACAAACTTGTATGTAAGGAGAACTGAAACACTGCTGTCTTTTTACAAAAATATTTAACTGATCATACTGTATACATACAGAAGTCTATATGTGAAAAACCTAAGACAAATGATTCAGAATAGCTAGATTACACAAGTTAACTAACAAGTCACGAAACTGAGGTGTCTTAAGTTTAGGACAGTATAGTGTCAATGAATTGCAGCAAAGTTTCCTGCCACCCTGCTCCTTTTCCATGAGAAACCCAGGCACACAAATTCAGAATACAGGTACCTCCTGACAAATCTAGCTCTTCATAGAGCTCAATGAAAATGTTGTATAGAATACTGAATGGGAGAGAGACTGGAAATGTTTAGTCATATTCTGAAGTCGTATATCCTGCCTATATTCTGAAGTGGAAAAACCCAGACATTTTCCCCTAGGTGAGGATCAACTTCTTGTAGCTGAGGATCAGACACAAAACAACTCTGTTTGGAAAGTTCACCCATGCCAGGTGTCTCACAGAAACAATTCATAGATGTCAATTAAGAGTGGGGAGAAAAAAAGGATCATTCTATTCCAACAATTTCTCCTAAGGTTCTTTTCAAAGGTTGTCCTAAGCAGGACTCCTTTTGATTTTGAAATATCAGCAAGAATTGTAATTGTTGATACAGACTAAAAATTAAAAGGAAAAGATCAGCAGTTCTCATATATTTGAGAAGGAGAACATGTCAGAGGAATTTTGCCAGTACTTAGAACCCAGCTCCTGAGATATTTTACAATATTACTTGCTAAGAAGAAATCACCTGCAACTCACACCATGAGAAAAAGGGAGTACCATCTTATTCACTATAGTGTGAATAGCATCAATACTGTGATTATACTTGCGAAGGCTTTCACGGCCGGGATCTAATGGTTGTTGTGGGTTTTTCGGGCTCTATGGCCATGTTCTGAAGGTTGTTCTTCCTAATATTTCGCCAGTCTCTGTGGCCGGCATCTTCAGAGGACAGCACTCTGTGCCCTGGTGTACAGAACACGGCCAAAGAGCACGAAAACCCCACAACAACCAATACTGTGATTATCTGAATACATCAAATTCTACATACTATCCATGTATGTCTCCCAGAAGCATGAACTGTTTATTAGATCATTTCTCTCTCAGTTTGTATCCAGACATGCCCTTGATCTTGCCATCCAACCCTGAAGGTTTCCTGCTTCCAGCAGTGGCAAGCAGTTGCAATGCCTACATTTCCGTTTGGCTTGGGTGAAAATCAAAGCTTAGGAAGTTGTTTTTTAAAAGAACTTCCTGCATGACTCGTTAATTCTTGGCAGCCAAGTTGTCACGGCTGTTACAATCCCTTCAGTCATGCAAGCAGTTCAGTGGCTCCCAAAATTTTTCGACCCGCAGTTCCCTTGACTGATTGGCCACTGGCCACGATTTGCCCAATATGATACTTTGGGTGAGGGGGGAGAAGGGAGGGGAGAAGCCAGACCTCAGTAGTACTTTTGCTACTACTTTTGCAACTCCTGGCTGGATTGGGGGGTGCCCAGGGGTGCCACGGCACACAATTTGGGAACCACTGAAGTACTCCATTGCATACCTAGAGTAGGCCCAATTTACATAGGTGCTGATTCACCAAATCCCCACTAATTCAATGGGCCTACTCTAGTTGCGACTTCTTATTGGATTTCAGCCAATTAAAAAAAATTAGATTTAATTTGAACTAACATGCTGTAATAATCTACATGGGAAATGGCCTTCAAAGTTCAGGAAAAGGGAGAAAAAGATGAGGTTAAAAACCAAATAATGAACACTATTATTTTAAACATTCAAATTAAAAAAAAAAACACTTGGCAATCATTATCTTTTCACAGCAATAATTACTGTTAGTAAAGAGTTGACATAGTTGCATTCAACATATTAGTCAAGTTATTATAACACATTGCACATTTATAGAGGATAAAAAGTGGAAAGGAAAATGTGTACAACTGGAAAGAGAACAGAGGAAAGCCTGGAAAGTGAAGAAAAGGAAATATACAATTATTAAAACGTACGTTTAGGTACCAGCTTGGTTGGGTCTGTAACATCTCTTTCACTGTACTGTACAGTTGGGTCCATAGCATCTCTGTCAGGAGGAGGGTATGGTGGGGGTGGGGGTATCATTAATTGGGGTGGACCACGTGTATTGCCTCTAGGAGGCTTTTGTGGCACATGTCGTCCATTACCTATAGGGGGAATCAATTGGAATTCACTAGTTACTTTTATCATCAAATCAAATATCTCCTGTTTAGTTGTTTTGTAAAGGAACAATAGTTACCATTTCCAAATCATTATCCACAGGGTTTTTGTTTGTTTGTTTTGAAAAAGGATTATTCCAAAGAAAAACCAATTTGCAGGTTTCAATATATTTATCAAGAAAAGTGAAACTCCAAATATATATATATCATAAGGAATTGCCTGTTCCCACATAATTGCTTACCTAGAAAATCACACTTAGTGGTCAGAATCCTACTGTGGTATTACACCAACATAAGTGTATTAGCATAAATTACTGTACTGAATTGCTGTTAAATTATTAAGTAGCTGTTCACATTCTTAATCACAAGGGCTGGTAATGCAACTGGTAACCTTTTTTTTTCCTCCAAGCATAAATTGAGCTGCATAGAGCTCAGTGACAAATTGCCACTAGTTAACAAGTTATTTGTATTCTTCCTTGGATGCCAAGTCAAGTGACTGGAATATGACAAGGAAGTGGCAGCTCATTAACTAGCAGCAATTTGTTGCTGTGATTTTTTTTACACCATTTCAACTATGCTATTGTAACTAGCTACTGTAACTAAGAGGATTTTAACCATTAGCTTCTAGAGGTATATGCAGTCTTTCTTTCTTTCTTTCTTTCTTTCTTTCTTTCTTTCTTTCTTTCTTTCTTTCTTTCTTTCTTTCTTTCTTTCTTTCTTTCTTTCTTTCTTTATTTATTTATTTATTTATTTATTTATTTATTTATTTAGATTTGTGACCATGGAAGATTGTCTTAGGACAAAACGCTGGCTCTATGGCTTGGAAACGGGGATGAGCACCGCCCCCTAGAGTCGGACACAACTGGAGAAAAATTGTCAAGGGGAACCTTTACCTTTATAGATTAAGTGGAGACACTGTTAATGATTGGCTCAACATTATCAGTGAGCTATATTGCTAAAAAGGGATTTCTTCAAAAGATCTCCTTTTATTCTGTGGAAACCTTGGGCTAAATCCAATAGTTAGTCTCAGTATGAGTAATCAAATGTTGACTTACCAAGGTATCACTGATCCATTGGGCCTTGTTTAGTTAGAACTAACGGTTTAATTTAGTGCACAATGCTGAGGTGCCTATAGTTGAAATGGGCGCAGACAACTCTTGGACTACCCTCTCCTGGCTTGCTTGATCTGTTCCTGGACTTCACTGGTTTTAACTCTGCACTATGGCTCTGCTTTGCCCACCTATTTCGCCATGTTCTTGTTGGTGTGGATCCCAGGCTGGCTTTTCACCCTGCACACAGATTATCATGGGCTATATTGTCTGTCTCTCTCTTTCTCTCTCACCTTGGATCCAACTTTTCTTCATCCAATACTTTATTCACTAAAGTATATGATTGGTTCTCTCCCATCTAGCTTGTTCTAGATATTGACATACAATCTCCAGGAAAGAGTAAGTAACTTCCAAAGCGACCAATACATTGATAAATTTCCAAATTCTAAGAGGAGGGATGGGGTTTATAATATCCACAAATATTAAACAGATGAATTTCTGAAAACTGTTCTTCGTCACTGTACCATAATAACATTCTTCTTAGAGAATATAAATAAAGTGCCAATGACCCAGGCTGAATTGTAAGATAATAGATATGTGCTGCCTCTTAAATTTGTTGTTGTTTAGTTGTTTAGTCGTGTCCGACTCTTCGTGACCCCATAGACCAGAGCACGCCAGGCCCTCCTGTCTTCCACTGCCTATCGGAGTTGGGTCAAATTCATGTTGGTAGCTACGGTGACACTGTCCAAATGCCTCTTAAATACTAGGGCATAAAACATGAGGCATTTACTGAACATAAATGGAGAAATAGATTTCTTCTAAAGTGAGGAGCATCTGTAGTGTAAGCAAATAGATATGACAGAGTGCTGACTTACTGCACTGGGTTTCCTGTAAAACATGATGCTAAAGGCAGCCGATGAAATCTTGAATGCCTCATGCAACCTTTAACACAATTTGATTTTAATACACTAAGTTAATTACTTCTATCTATGATATATGTCATAGCTTTTAGGAATCCATTAAATCATACTACTGTAGAGCTCAAACTGACCACAGTGAGATTTTCAGCTGTTCATGCTTTTTCCATTTTTGAGGGCATATAAGTTTTTGCTGCCATGAAGTGATCTGTGCATTGTGATTTCTAAACATCATATATTGATAATGCTGCCCACTATATAGAAGCATACTATTCAATACGAGTGAGTCATTCATGAAACTAGATATTAATTTAGTATCATTGTCTGAGTTCATAAAGAAACAGAAAGCATCAGGATTATTTTTGGTCGAATTTCATTTCCCCCACTTTAAGTGAACAGGACTTCAAAGTGTTTATCTTTGGGTATAGCCTGCAAATCTACTTAGCTCAACTGTTCAAAGCTGGGGAATGGTTCAGCTAAATTAAGCATTTTGAAGTCCTACTAATTTTAATTAAATGATCAATTATAGTTGAGGCTGCTAATTCATTCAGGTATTAAGGCTGAATGAACTCAAAGGAACTTACTTTTAAGGAGACATGTATAAAATTGCTTTGTACGTAGTGGGCCCTAAAATACTTAATTTCATCTGGATTACATGCTACTCTTGTGATATAGAGGGAAAGCCAAAATATTTGAAATTTAACCTACCATTTTACATATTCTAAAACTACAATAATTGGCCACTTCGGTGCAGTTATTCAATAAAATATCCCATGCTTCATTATTTCCAGACTTTCCTTTTGTTGTACTGAAAAATTTCAGGATTACATAGTTTTTTATCCATGGGGGAATACTTCAATATTACTAGCAAGGCAGCACAACACTTGCAGGTCGGTACATGCACTGAGTTCAAACTGAACTGTTCTTACCAACTGTGCTTTTCCTCTTATCTTCTATTTCTTCTGTTCTCTCTGGCGTTATAGGAATTGGTGGAGGTGGGGCACGTCTTTTTTTCTTTTGTAAATCATTCTGTGATGAATCTTGAGACATCTGCCAAAGAGAAGGAGGATAAACATAACTAATGGTTTTTACAATTTTTACAAGCAATTTCTGTTTCTGAATACTTTTAAAAGCCACCAAATGTGTCTTGAAAATCTGTCAGTTTTACCTATTGGGACACGTTTTAGTAGTATACCAAGTAAAGGAAGAGAGAAGTTTTTGTCCTTAGCAGTATAAACCCTACCTCAAGTGTTGGTGATATTTTATAATTTCCAGGATCGCCAGTTATGGGAACCAACAGGTTCAAAACTGGCTGGCAGTTTTCAGCTACAAAGGTTATTATATGCATAATATTTGGGCTGTATAACATTGAGAAGCATCTGTGGACACTTGATTGGAATTACATGTAAATGCTAGCAATCTGCACAGTGAAAACACCTATGTTGGATTCATTTTGGATTATTTTGGGCAGGTACCTCTTTCACATCTTTTGTATATTAGCCTTTTCATTAAACAAAAAGGATCAGCACTTTCAGATTCTTTTGTTTCTTTTTCCCCCAATTCATGGTTTACCTGGAACTCATTCATTGTTGTGGAGGAATTTTGGCCCACCACTTGTAAATTTGCTGGTGTGCTGTGCAACATTGTCCTGTTGCATGAACCAATTTCGACCAAGCTTTCGCTGTCAGACAGATGGCCTCACATTTGACTTTAGAATATTTTGATATATAGAAGAGTTCACAGTTGACTCAATGACTGCAAAGTGCCCAGGCCCTGTGGCTGCAAAACAAACCCAAATCATCGCATTTTGATATATAGAAGAGATGCCCAGGCCCTGTGGCTGCAAAACAAGCCCAAATCATCACCCCTCCATCACCGTGCTTGACAGTTGGTATGAGGTGTATGTGCTGATCTGCTGTTTGTTTTTTGCCAAATGTGATGCTCTGCATTATGTCCAAACATCTCAACTGTTCAAAGGACATTGTTCCAGAAGTCTTTTGGTTTGTCCAGATGCAACTTTACAATCCTAAGCCATACTGCCATGTCCTTTTTTCGAGAGAAGAATCTTTCTCTTGGTATCTTTTCCAAACCAACCAGACCTGTTCAGTCTTTTTCTAATTGTACTGTCATGAACTTTAACATTTAACATGCTAACTGAGGCCTGTGGATTCTGAGAAGTAAATCTTGGGTTTTTTGCAATTTCTCTGAGCATTGTACAGTTTGATGTTGGGGTAAATTTGCTTCACCCCTGTGAAGACTGGCAACTGTCTTGAATAATCTTCCTCACTGTAGAATGACGGACTTTAAATTGTAAATGGCCTTCTGACCCATCCCAGATGGATGGACAGCAACAATTGATTCTTTATGATCATTGCTGATGTGTCTCCTCCTTGGCAATGTGTTAACACACACCTAAATACTCCAGAACAGCAAACTGCTAAAACTTTGGCTTTTAATGATGATCAGTTATTCAAGGTCATTTGATTAGCAGCACCTGGCTACTACTTAGCCTCTTAATTTCTATGGAAGCAGTAAGGGTATACTTAATTTTCCATGCATGCCTTCTCCATTTTGGCTTTATTTTTGTTAAATAAATCATGACACGATGTAACATGTCATATGTTGTTGTTAATCTAAGGTTAGGTATTTACCTAATTTTCAGACCTGCTAAGGATCAAATGATTTTTATTATGTCCCGCTATATAAAACCATAGAATTCACTGAGGGTGTACTCTTTTTTTACATGATTGTTATACTGGTATAGACTGTGTAATTTTCAAACCTGCTAAGGATCAAATGATTTTATTATATCCCGCTATGTAAAACCATAGAATTCACTGAGGGTGTATTTTTTTACTTGATTGTTATACTGGTATAGACTGTGTAATTATGTTCTCAACTTCCTTTTTAAGCCTTTGCATGGCTCTTAAATATAAAATGTTAAAGATACATTCATCTCAAGATGACATTGTAATATATGTGAAAATGGCCTAAAAGCCATGCAGTGAATTTTAGAATTACAGTACTGTAGAGTTGGAAGTGACCTGAAAAGTAATCTAGTCCAACAATTGGCCAGTGCAGGCATATGAATAAAGGCATATAATGAGAGAAAGTACAGTCTCTTATTTCAAAAGGTAAACAAATTTATTAAGTATAATTCTGTAAAAGTGATGCTGATCAGCTAGCTATTAGGTGTTCCATGCCTCCTACCAATCTGGCCCAAACTGATGAAAAGTATGTATCCTATAGTTGTCTGGCAAACATAATGTACTTGCCTTCTCCTGTTTTCAAACAAAATAATGAGATCTATAGAAATGACAACTAGCCCTTCAACAATACTGTGGGTTGGGAATGAGCCATACTGGATAGTGTGCTGATCTGACATAAGAAGTGTTGAGTTCAAATCACTGTGCAATCACGAAGGAGTTAGTCAACACATTTTCTTTTACCCTTCTCCTCTCACAGGTTATTGTGCAAATATAAATAGTGTAACCACATGTTTAAAGTTTTTATCTTGGTCTCCAATTTGAGGGGCAACAGAAAAGCTCAAAAACAATTGCAACATACGTCCCTGACCTCTGGGAGTGATGGGTTGATTGAATTGGTATGCCATCACCACCACAAATCACCCAGTTTTACAGCAAGAAGGAAAGGCTCCTGTTGTTGGCATCGGCTCCTTTCTCTCCTTTTAACAGAATTAAATTGTAAGCTATTAGAGAATTTCACTTCTTAGCCAAATAGCCAAAGAAACCGAGACAGGAATTGATCTTCAAAAGGAAGGTAGGCGTCATTACTACTCATAAAAGAGTGCATTCACACACTTGGAAATAATTTGTTAAGTCTCATATAGTCACAGGACTACCCCTCTTGGGTTCATTTACGTAATATAGGCAAAAATCATATGCCAAAATTTTAAGAAGTTAATGCTTCATTCATAAACCCCTGTTCTTCATGTGTTTTGCCATAATCTTGTGCCTCTGGAGTACAATTCCCCTTCTATTCTCTCCTCAGACACTAAACAAATAACAATCACATTATGCTGACAGTCCTAGTTTAATTATTTCCGAGTGGTCAATTCGTTTTGAACACTCACAGACTATGGATGCTCTGCTTTATAACATTAAAATTCATGTTATTGAGCCAGTTTAAAATGCAGTATAATGGCTTGGCTTGAATATGGTACCCTATTGTTATGACAACATGCATGCTGCCTCGATAAATTAACAGGTAAAATTGAGAAACTATTGGTGCCCACCTAACCTTAGAACAGCCTTGGCAACTCTTTTGAAAATTCTAGCTAATTAAGGCAATTAAGAGCTGCATTAAAATCGTTCCAAAGAAAGCAATGAATGTTTTGATTCAATTAGGAAACTACACTAACTGTACATCATTTTAATATAATTATAGTCAAATTTAAACCTGGCTTAGCATCTATAAAGTGGTACCTGTCTTGAGTCCAGCAGGCTCTAACAGCAAGGTCTTAACAGCCCACACTATAAGCTGGCAGGATCCAAGTGAGAGAGAAGGCAATACAGGATAATGCAATAAGAAAATATTGTCAACAGACAACTCAGTTTTAAAGCCAGAAGGTGCTATCCGCAGAATAGATAAATCAGAGGAAGGCAGATCCAGAATCACAGTCAAGAAGCTGGCCAATATTCAACAGGTAAAGTTTTAGACACAAATCAAGCAGGAGAGGGCACTTCAAAAGAAGCACCAAAGTCCATATTCAGGGAAACACCAAGGCATCCAATTGACAATGTCCAAACTACATGCAGACATTGTTTTCAGCAGCCTCTCCAGCATGTAGCTGAGGCTCCTATTGTTGCTAGGACTTCATTCAGAACTCAGGTATTGGTATTTCAATGTAAAGTCTGCCTGGGAGAAAGATCCTTTCCTCAAGGAGACCTGAAAAGTCCTCTCTTGCAGACAGGGAGATTTTGGAGTCACATCCAGACCTGCTCATGCTTTCATCCTGTCTTACTCTCCTGGCATGGGCTCTCCTCTACTGCCTCATTCTCTTAAATGGCCTTCCAACCACTTTGAAGATCCTCAGACGCAGTTTGCTTCTTGGTACCGTCTCAATCTTGAGGCTCTGGATCCTCTTTGAAGATAATCCCTCCAGCAAAGGTGTGACAGTACCTTTTATTCACTTTACAATTGCACACTCAATCATGCTCATGCACCCACACACTTATAAGAGTGACTAATCAACAGAAATATTTCTGTTTGTGTGTGAATGTGAGTGACTAACAAACAAGTATTTCTCTCTCTGTGAATATATGAACATGCATATGTTTGCTTGATAATTGCTGCATCTGCAGATCTGACAGATGATTGTCCAGTTTTCTCTTGAATGCCTCCAGCGTTGGAACCCTCACCACCTCCAGAGGTAATTGGTTCTACTGTCATACTGCTCTAATAGTTAAGTTTTTTTTTTCCTGATATTCAGCCTAAATCTAGCTTGTTGGCATATGGTTAGCAGGCCTGGCCTAGGAACAAACACATCACACCAAGACAACAGGGAAAAGGCCACAACTGGATGGTTTTAGGCCAGGCAGGTGAACCAAAGTGGGAACTCCTCTCCTCATGTCCTCAGGTCAGCAGTTTTTCCACCTACACATCACGCTGGCCAATCGCACTGCACCAGTGCAATGCGGAGCAGGAACAGGTTCCATCCCTTTTCCACTGCCAGCCACGCAGCATCACTGTTTTGAGGATGCCACGGGAGCAGACAGGAGGCCACACTTCTGCTCTGGCCCCAAACCAGAGCAGTCCCAGCCTTCCTGTAACTTGAGCCCCTTATAACATGCCCTGCGCTCCAGGGTGATCAAAAACAGATCTTGCCCTTCGGTATACCTTTCACGTATTGACATAACTGACATCAAATGATAAAACTGATGCTGTTGTACTTTGGACACATCATGAGAAGGGAAGAATAAGCATTGAAAGCAGTGGGAAAAGAGGAAGGTCAAATCTGAGATGCATTGACTCCATAAAGGAAGCCACAGCTGTGCAGGGCCATTAATGATAAGACATTTTGGAGGTCA